TCTTTCTTTTTTCCTACTAGCGTACAAAGAAGTTCCATGTTAAGAAAGTAAAATGTAAAAGCTTAGAAATTGTTACAGGCATGAGACAGAAGTTCATCCTTTGGTAAAGTAAAAATAGCACGTACATCACTATATACTTTTTTGGTATTTTTTAAATTACAAAAGCAGAATACTCAGCAAATAAATCAGATCTGGTGCATTAGCTTTAATTTAGATTTTAAAATGTCTGCTGCAGAATACTATTCTAGTTAGTAGAGAGTTAACTGTTACATTAAAAGCACGTAGATATATTCTCCTTCTCTTTATCCAGAGATATCCCTATTAACTTTAACCAGAAATACTAGCTGAAACAGTGTAGCTAGATTGGACTAAAACTGAAGGCTTTGGGGATGTGTACTGTTACTATCAGACAGTGTAAAATTACAGCACTACAAAGCAGGTTTTGTAGAGGTTGCCTCAAATGACATTCCACCTAGAAAAAAAAAAGAACACACAATCTGTGAAGAGAAGCATCTGCTACTTAACTCCAGTCAGTTGCATCCAGTCCTTTTCACTGAAAACCATATGGCTTTCCTGAAAAACCAAACCCAACCCACCCAACCAGCCAGAAACAAAAAAACCACACCACAAAATAACTGCCCGCAAATAGAAGTTGTATTTTCTGCCAACAGTAAGAACAGGTAAAAAAAAAAGACCAATTTTTATTAGTTCATCAAAGCTTACAGTGTCCACAGAGTTGTGCATTAAAGGACACATAAGTATTTCATAGGTCAGTGTAGGAATTCAAAACATGACTATTGTAAAGCAGGTAATCTGACATTTTATTTTCCTTCTATCCAAGGTGGAACTGAGTGTAAGGGGGCACGCTGGTTGGAAAATTTTACCTTTTGTCTGCTGAGTCTCCCCATTTTTTTTTTTTTAATTTTATTTTTTTAAGTAGCAAGTTTGGTGCTTTTAGCAAATATTCTAGTTCAGACCAAAAGTGTAATGGCACTTACTACAGTTAGATAAATTGATAAATAGATAAATAGATAAATACAGTGTTACAGACACGTACACAAGTTTGTAATTGAATCTTTACGTTGTGCAAGACTAGATGCTACCAAAAACTGTAATTTCAAACGGTTCTTACGCAGCAACTGTGTGTGTAAACAGTAACAAAGAAAAAAATGAACAGTACAACATTTAAAGCTGCATCTGAAAACAAGCAAGCAAGCGAACAGGATTCTGCAATTCATTTGTTGCTGTTACAGAACACACTTTCTATTACTTCGGCATTTTCAGTATTCATCCTCTTCTTCAGCCTCTGCTTCTACAGAGTCTATCCCAACTTCTTCATAATCTTTTTCAAGGGCAGCCAGATCTTCCCGGGCTTCGGAAAATTCTCCTTCCTCCATTCCTTCCCCAACGTACCAATGTACAAAGGCACGTTTGGCATACATCAAATCGAATTTATGGTCGAGACGAGCCCATGCTTCAGCAATGGCAGTGGTATTACTCAGCATACATACAGCTCTCTGCACCTTTGCAAGGTCGCCACCTGGCACCACAGTTGGAGGCTGGTAGTTAATGCCCACCTTCAAGAAAACAAGTGAGAACGTCTTTAATTACTGGGAAGCACTGAAGACTTATTTCTGTTAACAACAACAGTAGCCACAACTGTGAACAATTAAATAAAATTATTTTGCGCTTCATCAAAATATTTAACTAAATCCTAAATTCAGGATCTGGTCAAACTGGTCCAGCGTTAGCTACATTGGCCTAGAGGTTATTTTTCCAACAGATCATAAGAGCTTACTGGACTCTACAAAGAACATAAGAATCTAGGTCTTTGCAAGTCCTGAATGCATGGACAGTAGCTGGAAGGATGGACCTCTTGTCCGGAAGGTGACACTGCCAGTCAACTGAGAACAAGCAGAAGTAGCTGAACAACCTGATATTCATCTAGTAAAAAGGCGACTTACAGGAGCCTATGTTTAAATGAATCACAACGAAAAAAATAGGTTTGCTCTAGTGATAGCAGTCAGGCTCCACATGTCCGGAAACTGATAGCGTCTACCACTTCAAGGTATCTCCAAAACATCGTTGGGAAATTACTGCACTGAATTCAATAACTTAATGTAGTGTTTCTACATTTGCTTGGGGCTTGCCTATATTCCTCCTGTACAAAGCTCCCGAGATTTTTGAAGACTTGCAGTAAAACCTGGCATTGCTTTTCAGTACTACCTGCTTGTAAATTATTTTCAGACACTCAGTACTGCCTGTTCCTACAAAAACCGTGACTGCTATTCTGTAACTTGTTTTAGAATTTTCATCTGAGTTAAAATATCAGGGAATTATATTTAAGAATATAATCTGAAATGTAAGCAGTTCAGTAACAGGAACGTTACAGTACAGTACAAAAAAACAAAAAACAAAAAACCAAACCCAACCCACCCAACCAGCCAGAAACAAAAAAACCACACCACAAAATAACTGCCCGCCGCACTGCATGTAGAGAGGCGCACGCAGAGTGGAATGACCGAGTAGGTGCATGCGCAGTACGGAGAATGTGGCGCATGCGCCGTGCGAATTCGGCCGAAGACGCATGCGCAGTGCAGAGGTGGGAACAGTGCATGCGTAGTGCGCTGCGAATCCACTGCGGGTGTGTCCCGATGAGCGCATGCGCATTCCCGTGCGAGAGCGGCGCATGCGCCGCACTGCATGTAGAGAGGCGCACGCGCAGTGTGGTGATCAAGCAGGCGCATGCGCAGTGCGGAGAAATGGCGCATGCGCTGTGCTTATTCGGCCGAAGACTCATGCGCAGTGTAGAGGTGGGAACGGCGCGTGCGCAGTGCGCTGCGAATCGACTGCGCGTGCGTTGGGATGAGCGCATGCGCCGTGCTGCTGCGAGAGTGGGGCATGCCCTGCACTGCACGTAGAGAGATGCACGCGCAGTGGTGTGACCGAGTAGGCGCATGCGCAGTGCGGAGAAACAGGCGCATGCGCCTTGCGATCTCGGCCGAAGACGCATGCGCAGTGCAGCG